GTTCTTGTGAATGCACTTTCGACACTTACGCTACGCTTGGTCTCTTCTGTGTCTCTGATCTGACGTTGTCCAGGGGTTTGGGTTTGGGTTCGGGTGGGGTCTATTAACGTTCTTGTGATTGCACCTTCGACACATATGCTACGCTTGGTACCGATTTTGGAGGCCAAGAACAGTGGAGCCTTTTGGATCCCTTTGCGGATGCAAGCGGAAGAAGCCGCCTCAAAACAAGATTCCGAAGGCTTGACAGAAGATTTCTTGTAAAATACATAATATATTAAAACCTCTGGCAAAACCAACCCGCCCCCTCGCTTCTTGAAACCCTTCATATCCCTCCGAAAAACATCTGTGTCCGAGACCTCTGTGTCCAAGACCTATGTGTGAGAGACCTCCATCTCCAACACCTCTATGTCCAAGACCTGGATGTCCGAGACCTCTGTGTTTAAGACCTCTGAGTCCGAGACTTCTATGTCTGTGTCCGAGACCTCTAAATGTCCGAGAACCTATGTCCGAGACCTCCTATAGATACATGCCCGTCCGAGACCTCTGTGTCCTGTATGTCCAAGCCCTGTGTCCAAGACCCCTGTGTCCGAGACCTCTATGTCCGAGACATGAATGTCCGAGACCTGTGTGGTCGAGAACTCTATGTCCGAGACCTATGTCCAACACCTCATATAGACACATGCATCTCCGAGAGCTCTATGTCCGAGAACTCTGCGTGAGAGACCTCTAAATCCGGGACATCTGTGTCCAAGACCTCTATGCCCGAGACCTATGTCCAAGACTCTATTTTTTCTTTCCGGTGGCTCAGAAAAGGTATGCGCCGGTGGAGCGGCACTTCTCTCCTCTAAATGTTATCCTCGGTGGCTCACAAACGGTATGCACCGTTGGAATGCACTGTTTGAATGGTCTCAGCCTCTGTCCACGAACTGTGTGTCCGAGACCTCTGTGTCCGAAACCTCTGTGTCCGAGACCTGTGTGTCCGAGACCTCTGTGTCTGAGACCTCTCTGTCCGAGACCTGTGTGTCCAAGACCTCTGTGTGCACATTCCCTGGTGAGACTGGCTGCGCAAAACCGCTGACTGAAAACTATTCCCATGTAAACGGGGGGATAAACGACCCCAAAAGAGGGGGCTAAACGACCCCTCGCCCCTGCAAGGCAGCAGCTTAAAAAGATTGGGTGAAACCGCCTTTCACATTTCAGAGTGTCGGATGTTACAACATCATGCGCACAATGACCTCGCCCCAAGCACGCCCGCCAAGTGCTTTGGCTTTAGGCACTTGTCTTCGGAACGACCACATGTCATGAACAATCTTAACAGTTCTTAACACATGTGTGTGGCGATGCCAAACAAATTTGTTCGTGGTGTTTGCGTGGACACGTTAGAACGTCCCCTCTCGTTTTTCAGGACTTTAGTCTTTCCACAACCTTTTAGCACTCCAAACAGAAAATAAAACTACGTGAAGCAACAGCAGCAGCAAAGCACCAGCATGCAGCAGCAAGCAGGCAGCCAGCACCAGCAAAAGCAGCAGCAGTTGCAAACCAGCAAACCAAAAGCAGCAACACCAACCGGCCAGCAGCAGCAGCAGCAAAGCAGCAAGCAGAAGCAAGCAGCCCGCAGCAGCAAGCAGGCAGCCGGCACCAGCAAAAGCAGCAGCAGTAGCAGCAGTAGCAAAACAGCAAACCAAAAGCAGTAGCAGTAGCAGCAAAGCAGCAGCAGCAACACCGGCAAACCAGCAGCAGCAAGCAAAAGCAAGCAGCAGCAGGCAGCAACAGCAACAGGAGGAGCAGCAGCAAAGCAGCAACCACCAACAAGCAG